GGGGAGTATTACAGCACATAATTTGTCCTCATGATTCTAGCAATCCCATGATTTGCACACGTGATTCTGACAATCCCTTGTAATTAGATAATTGCACAGTCAACATTTATTCCTTTCCATGTAAAGCTAAGGCATGTGTAGCCATATATATTGACGTACAGATTCAATGAAAAATATAACATTCCAAAGTAAATTGTCTTTCTAACACGGTGCGACATCCTCACCCCTACTCTACTTCCCCAAAACTGCTACTCCAATTATCCAAAGAGCAATCCGAACTTGTTCTTCTTCTTTTTCAACAACCCCACAACGAATTTCGAATTCATAATTTGATATCAGGACTTGATGGGCTACTCTAATTTAAGAAATCAATCACAAGCTCAAAGAGCCAATTCCAATGCCGATCTATGAGTCCCGCGTTATTTTATTTTAGCCAAGCCAAGAGGGCCCCACCTGTCATGTGCTTGCCGCCTGTGCGCTCTTCGATGCCCCCCCCATCGCTTCCTTCCCCACCGCCTTCGCTCTAGAAATGATCCGTTGTTCCTACATTTTTCTTGATTCAAATTTTTATTCTTCTCTTTCTTTGGCGTCGATTAAATTCATCCCAGCAGACAACATATTCAAAATAGAGGTCTTTATACTGAAAAGGAAAATTGACAAGAGCGCAAAACAAACATTTGATAAGTTTGGTAAAATCAATATAAAATAATAATGTTGGTATGGAGAAAAATTATTAATTTATGGATAATTGAATAATTTATTAATTTGAGAGCATTTTATATTTTTAGGATTTGTATTATAGTTTCTCATAATACATGTAGGAAATTTGAAAAAAATAAAAATAAAAATTGAATGGTTTGAAATTTAAAATTTAATCGGTAAGCACACAAAAGGGCATCAACATACATACATTAAGGAAGAAATATTTATGTCAATGCATGGCTTCAAAGTTTAATATCTTGGAAGATTAATCATTCAAGTTATTTCAACTACACATCGAACATAATTTCTACTGTTATTAGTTTTAACTTTAGACCCTTAATCATTCCAAATTTCATATATTTTTTACCATGACGTCTCATTTGAAAGGGGCTAAAAATCTACATCGATGATAATTGTATTTTATCATCTATTTCTTGAAAAGAGGCCTTTCAAACCCGTCGTAGCATTAAATAATTAATTTGTACAAAATGAAAAAATATATGCCAAATGTCGTATGTGTATTGTAGAAAATTAGGATGAGATTGAGTTTGATTTGGATGTAAAGAAAAGCAAAAAACTTTAGATGCGTACTTTTTTCTAGGGCGAAAGATTTGACCAAAGCAGCCTATTCCGGGTCAAGCCATTTGGGAGGCCAAATGGAGATTCGTCAATGAACTTAAAAGAATAATAGCTTTTTTGGGATTTTAAGATTGGCAGCGGGGGGCATGAAGGGTAGAGGAGGTGTGGAGAAGAAGGTTGACATTGGGGCTGAAGATGACGATGTGGACTGGATTTTATTGAGCGGAGAAGTGGTAATGCATAAGAATGGGAAACCATCAGAAGGCCACACAAATTTGGAAAAAGTCCTTGTTTCTTTATGGGTAATTAGCACGTAATGTCATCACATTTCACTATTATTGTGAAAAACGTTTCTACCTTTCATTTTTTGGCACGTTCACCCTTATTTTCACATTTCATTGCGCACAAGGTCTTTTTTATCCATTTTCTCAATTAAAAATTGTGAAATGATGAAAATACCCTCCCCTTCAATAAAACAAAAGGAAAAAAAAAAAAAACTAATTGTAACCACAGTTTAAATTTTTTTAAAAATCGCAAACGAGTCCCAAATAAATTATTAAAAAGGTAATTAGTACATAGTATTCATATCTTTCACTATTATTGCAAAAAAGTCATTACCTTTTTTTTTTGCATTTTCACCTTTAATTACACATTTGATTGCGCAAACCATCATTTCTATCCATTTTCATCCAATTTCTCAATAAAAAGATATGAAATGAAGAATATACC